GCATCCAAAATGTGGACCGGGAATGGAGTTCTGGGAAGAAGAGCACGAAGTGGCTTACAGTTGGTTCCGGGCATTCAAAATGTGGCCCGGGAATGGAGTTCTGGGAAGTCGACGAGCACGAAGTGTGTGACTTGTTTAAAACGAGCCCGGCCCTCGCCTGTCCGGCTCCCGCCCAGACACCCCTGTGGAGTCATCAGATGTTTTCTTTTGACCCCATTAGAAACCTATAAGTTTTCGCTGTTAGGTAAAAAACGCTGCAGTCTATCATCAGCGCTTCCCTGGCGTGGCGTTCCGCTGTCCGCAGAAACTCCTCACCGACATGTTTTTTCTATTTGTCCTGTGCCCGCAAGTGCCCTGGTGTACACCAGCGTTGCGTTACACGCGGATGCGATGGTGTAGACGGGCGCTGTGGTGTGCACAGGCGCTGCGGTGCACGTAAGCGGTGTGGTGTAGACAAGCGCTGTGTTGCACATGGTTGTTGCGGTGTACACGTTCGCTGTGGGGTACACTGGGCGTTGTGGTGCACGCAAGCACCGTGCCATACACAGGCGCTGCGTTGCACACGGCTGTTGCGGTGTAGGCGGACGTTGTGGTGTACACAGGCGCTGTTGGTGCACGCGAACACTGGTGTACACAGGCGCTGTGGGGCAGATCGCCACCTACATGCTGCTCGCGTCGTCGTCGTCGCTCGTCGCTCGTCTTCTCTCGTCGCCGATGTCGTGCGCGCTGGCGCGTCTGTGGTGCCGGAGCCACACGGCGGGGGGGGGGGTCGTTCCGTCATACCCCCCCCCAGACACCTCCCCCCATGACGCCCGTCTTTGCCGATAATAAACAAACGCGCTCGTATCATTGTCGTTGTGTTTCAACTGAATATCAAGGCCGAGAACAGAGTGATTCGCGACGAGATTTTTCATTCGGGGGCAGCACTGTGGGACCTCAGCAATTACTGCGAGCAAATCAGCCACCAGAAACTAGTCGATAGGGCCCACGACGCAGTTTTCCACTGGCGTCAGCCTCGACATTTTGAATCACCACAGCAGCCAACGGTTGGTGGCCACCAGAGATGCAGTGCAGATGGCCGACTACACTACGCGATGCATTGCAGCCGGCCGTGGGCGGGCTACGTTTTTGTCCAGGCTTACACTCTGGGGCCCCTGGACACGTGGAGCTTTCAGAACCCCAGAAGTACCGACCTTCCGATGCTTATCGATGATTTGCTCCTGGGGCTGTAGCACCAACATCAAGACGAACTCGTCCGTCAGCTACGACACTCAGCGACGAGTTTTGCAGCCAACGTTCAGCACGACATGGGGTGCGAGTTGGCTTTGAACAAGTTGCAGGTGATTGCCTCGAACCGTCGGCCTAGCCGTCGACTCAGGAGGGCTCTTGGGAAGTCCGCGGGGCCCGTGTACGGCCACTCCGCCGATAATATTGGAATACAGAGCTCTGCGGGTAGGTCGAGGATTCGAGTTTATCGCAGACAGGCTCAAGCTAAATTGCACCGATGGTTGGTGGCCACCAAAATCGACGACATCGCATTCGAGCTATCAAAATCGCTGGAGGGGATACGAGAAAACTCTGGAACGTATGATTCCAGCAGACCATCATCCACGGGACAGAGGCGGTGGGCGTCGACAACAACGAGCTTCGAAATCTGCAGAAACATAGCTTCGCACTGCAGGCCCCAGATGTGCTACTCGAAGTCGTAGTCCAAGCTTGGCCGTGCGAGGGAGCCCCACATGGCGCGCTGGACTTCTGCCAGTTCTCGCCTGGGCAGCGATGATTTGGGCATCCACGTGAACTCTTAGGGTTGAGGGCCTGGCTGGATCAATTCCTCCCCCCTCCCCCCTCCAGATGGGCAGCCGGGCGGGGGCCTTTCGGGGCCAGTGGCCTTTGCCTTCAGAGAATAGGTTGGAGTTTCGTTTCGGCGCTGGCGGTGCAACACGAGAGCGAACCACAATACCCGCCCACGCTTTGGTTTTCAAATTTGGTGGCCCAGAAAATGACGCAGACCTGGGGCAGGCTCAATCTCCAACGATATGCAAGTTAAGCGAGGATAGACCCAGGAGACCCTAGATGTCACCGTTGCCAGAGTCTTCATCTCACGCAGCGCATTCGGACGCATGCCAGATTGATACCTGCGGGAGATCAGGTGGCGGCTAAGTGCTAGTGCGGACAGGCTCACGACATTTGACAGCACCGTCCCCTCGAGCGCGCCCTGTCTGCCGAACCCCGCGAGCTTCTCGCAACTGATGAGCTCGAAGCTATCGCAGAGCTAGCAGACCAGGCCCTGGCCTTCGGGTTTTAGTCTCATCCGGCTTTTGATGTCAGGTCTCCTGCTGGGTTTGGTTTTGACAGCGTTGAGCGTTGGTGTCGGGATTCCAATATTCCCCCTGTGGGGCTCATCCAACCAGGTTATCATTGGCGGCCCCCGTGGACAGGGGAAGGGGGTTGGGCACCATTGCGTTAATATAGGAGGCGGGCCCATTATCGTCATGAGTGCGCCGCTGAGCACTCCGCCGCGCTTGCTGCTGGTGTCCATGCCCACCCCCCGCGCCTTGATGGTTTCAGATGACCGGGTTGCCGACGACGCCCACCAGCAGACGCGTAACTTCGTGGCCGATGTCACAGGGCTTCTGAGGCGCCCTCCGGGGCTGCCCATGCTCCGATTGGCCCGGGGTCCAGAAACTCAAATCGCATGTTGCTATATTTTAATGTATCCATTATGTTTCGGAATCCACTATGTTATGTATCCATTATGTTTCGCGCGCAGGCCCCCGGGACTCCTGGAACCAAAAATAAGTTTGAATTCCCACGTCGGGGCGGCTGCAGCTGGGCCCTCCCAGGGAGTCGAACCTCCACCGCCCCCGATTCCTCATCCTCTGGCTCCTGGTGGCGAGATCTGGGCAGGACAGCCCGCGGGTGGCGCGAATTGGGCAGGGAGTGGTTTTCTGCTGCGCGCAGACAGCGCCGCGGCAGCGAAGTTGGCATAACGCGGGGCGCCAAGGAGCATTGCTCAGGTTGTTGTGTCCACCGCTCCGAGCTGCTGGCCAACACCAAGACCGCCCTGCATTTTCTTCCGGATATGCGGATGAGAGTATCCCGTCGAGCATCATACTTTGCATGAGGTACGGTTCTTTCAGAAGGAACCCGAAGCTTTCAGAGCACATGTCCTGACCGCCCCCTATAACTTAACGGGCGCACGTTGCAACGAAAGCGTACTCGAGAGGGGGTGCGTCAGAAGGGTTCCGCCGAATCGCTGATTTGTTTTTGAAACCTCCCATCCCACTGGCTCCGATTGTCAGGACTCCGAGGAGCAGCTGCGGCCAACCGGCTTCATTTCAAGGTCAACCGTACTGGCCTGTTGTTCGCCATTGCCTGCGTCTTGCTGAGGGTGGGGCCCGAGCCCCATCGAACTCGTCAGTCAGAGCATTGTTCCTCCCCCTGCTCCTCCTCGTCTCCCTCCTCCTCCTCCTCCTCCTCCTCCTCCACCTCCTCCTCCTTCCCCCCCCATCCGCCTGCTCCCTCTAGTTTCGGCCGCGGGGCCCTGGGACAGCTGGGCTGTCGGGGGGCCACCTTGGGCTGGGGCCATCGAGCCTCCTGCCGAGGAGGCGCGGCATCGCCGCGCGCGCCGCCGGTGTGCCAGAACGCGTTGCGTCGCGCGCGCCCGACGGCGGGCGCCAACTGCGCGGCTGCGGGAACGCCCGGGGGAGGCGGCCGAGATCCCCGGCGCCCGCCGCGCCGCGCCGACCGCGCTGAGAGGGCGACCAGGTCGTTGCGTCGCTTCTGCAAGCGCAAGACCACGGGGGGGGCATGATTGGCGGAGCCACGCCACGGCGCCCAGCTGCGGCACGCGCGGCCGCGCGAAGGGCATCTGCTACAAGGCCGAGGCTGCGCCCGGCGAGCCTTCGATCCGAACGCCCCTCAGCGCCGCTGCGCAGCCACCGCGGCAGCAGAAGCATTTCGAGGAGCTCTACCAGTTGGAAGGCAGCCACCGCGAGGCCCAGGCGCGCATTAGGAAGCTGGGGTCGGCCGCATCAGGAAGCTGGGGCCCGGCAGCAGGCGCGGGCGCCGCCCGCCGATGCGCCGCGCCAAGTCGCTCGCTTCCCCGGCCCAGAGATTAGCCATCTTGGACCGACCCCGCCCGACCTTGGATCCCAAAGCGCCCTGCAAGGCGGGAGGGGCGATCCCGTTTCTGGGCTCGGGGGCCGAAGTGGCCCCCGAGGTTGCACTGGCCCGTCCTAAGTGTGATGACCATCCTGTCGGTGAGAGAGCATGGACTCCTTTTGGCGGGGTCGGCGCAGAAGCCAATGGCGTTCCTTGGGACGGTCTTGGGAGGAGCGGCGGAGGTCACCCGACCGCCTCTGCTGCTCCGGAAGTGGGCGTGGCCCACGCGCATGCCCTTAGGGGGCCCACTGGGTCTAATGGGCATGGTTTGGCTGCGTTCCACGGAGCCGAATGGTTCGTGGGCGTAGAAGAAAGGGCTCCCAGTGGGCGTTCTACTGGTGTCAGTAGCGGTAAGTTTCCGTTCGAGATCGGTCGGGGCCACCACGTGGGCATCCGTCCGCCAATCCCCATTGCTCCGAAGTAGCCCAACACAAAGGACCAGTCACCTGGGAACCGAGTCAAGTACGATCGACTGGCCTTGGGGAACCTCAAGGCTGGGCTGCATCCTCAGAGAGGGGTCCCCCTCAACAGGGGAGGCCCAAACGCCTTGCACACCTTTTAATGGATTCCTCGAGGCGCTCTATACATAGATTCACTGCTGCAGCGACCCGCTGGACCCCCGCGTCCTCCTCCCTCTCTTCATCCTATTCCTCCCTTCTCGTCCTGGTCCTCCTCCAGTTGTTTTTCCGTTTGCTGGCTTTGTTTCAATTGCGTGTTTTTTGTTCGTCTTTCTCTCTCTGATCCTCCTCCTCCTCCTCCTCCTCCAGTTCCTCGTGCTCCTCCTCGTTCTTCTCGCGCGTGCTTCTCCTCCCTCAGCCTCATCGACCTCCTAC